GTTCCTGCTTTGAAAAAGCACAAGCTGGTCAAAGCCTCCACACGACTGCAGGAGAAGATCTGCTCTCAACATGACAAACTGATTGAGATCTACTGTCGTACTGACCAAAGCTGCATCTGTTATTTGTGTACAATGCATGACCACAAAGGCCACGATACAGTTGCAGCTGCAGCAGAGAGAACCGAGAAACAGGTGAGAAACAGAAATATTTTAGAACTAATTCAATGTAACTGTATTGTTAAACTAGAATCGGCTGCATTGACAGCTTCATAATTTAAAGTACTGAGTAGAAAGAGCTTATTAAAAATACTCTTTGGGCAGGTTCACGGTTTTCCCGCCAAGTTGAGCTTGTTTGAAAATGTAGTAGCGGGTGAAAAGTCATGTGATGCGTTGTTTAGCTACTTCCAGAATTTACTGAAACCAATGACAGTTTGTCATATAAGTGTTTAAATAGCTGCAAATAGGCATTTAGTAGCCTAGAGAGAGATAGGGAGAAAAGAGAGAGAGACAGAGAGAGAGAAAGAGAGAGAGAGCTGCAAGATAACAATAGCTGGCTTGACACAAACAGCAATGAAAGCGAAACTTAAGCCAGTTGTAAAGGGGGTCAATGAGGTCTAGTAGCAGTACTTGGACAATATAGTTGTAATGTAGCTTAAACCCATCCTCAAGGCGAGTATTGTTACTTGGGTGAAATTAAAATTAAAATTAAATTAGTAAACTAAAAGTACCTTAAACTAAATAAATAAAATCATTTGAACATCTAAGTAAAAGCTGTACCCTTTTCTCATAAGTTTAATAGTATAAGAATATGTACAGTTCTAGGCAAAAGTCATAAAGCAGCCTAGAAAACTGTTTAAAACAATTTATCTTGGCCGTTAAGGTGTTTTTGCCAGTTATTGATATGATAGTTATAAGAATATAGTTAGAAGAACACTTCATTTTTAAGTTTTTCCTTGAAAATGGATAACACAGAGACATGCATGAAACCATAATGTATTTTTTATTTATATATTTGTTTTTATTCTAATGTATTTTTAAATAAACATTTACTACTTAAATGAATAAACGTTAACTTATAATTATCTCAGATTGCCTAAAATTTTGCACAGTGTAGTGAACACCACCATCTGGTTGAACCAAAGTCACTCCTGTGTACAAGAACTTTCCACATTCCCCGAACTAAAAGCTTTGGCTCCACAAAGTCTGAGGTAAAAGCCATAAAACAGGATTAAGTTGCCAACAAGTTTTACAGCTTAAAAGGACATTACTATGGGAGTCTGGACACTGTGGGAGGTTATCAACCCCCCTTGCTCCATAAGGCATACCAGGCAGCTATAAATCCCTGCCGGGAATCCAGCTGCAGGCCTCAGCAAACTTCTAATTAAATTTGTAATTTACAAGAAATCAAGTTTCCAAAGTGCGCACCAATACAGAATTGCTACCATTCAACAGGGTTCATTTCAAGAAGTCTGGAGACCCCAAAAACTTGTTGCTTTGTTTGTTTAATTATCAACGTTTATATAATCTGTAAGCAATTCTATTTGTTTTATTAGTCTTATTGTTATGTGTGTTACCTAAAACCTGTATCTTTTTCTTCTATTAAATGCTAGAAACACGTAGTGTATAACTTTGTTAACAGACCGAGACAACCATTTCATTGTAATGAGTTTAGACCATTGACAAATATGTATCCTGAATGTGGTTTTCTTTTCTTTTCTATCTTTTGTTCTTTTTCTTTCGTTGTCTAATTTATTTCTTCATGCATTGGGTCATATTTAGACCTTACAGGCAAAAATTACCTGTGATTTTGAAAGTTAAACCGATTTGATGATATAAGAATGTTTCTTTTTCTTTGTTTAAAACTAACTGAAACAAAGAAGGCAGTGATTCTGGGGAAGGCGTTCCTAAAAGTACAAACAATCAGAGTTGGAAACAATTAATAGCTAATTAACCGTTTGAGTGCACCACAAATTTTGGGAGGCCTGCGTTCTCAACAAAAAGATAGCTAAATGTCTAAGTTTGTGCTGGCCTTGGTCAGAAAGACAGGTCAGAAGTCTTAGAATGCTAAAATTTCGGATCTGAAACCTTTGTTTGTTTTTGTAACTTGTCTGTCCGTCTATACACCTTAAGTTTAAACCACGCTTAGAGAAGGAAGGTGGATATTTCTTGTCGGGCCAGTGAGAATATATCCATAACTTTCGATTCTGCTAAAGAGAGGTAGTTAGTTAAATTAGTATCACCAGCCTCAGAACCCTGATTGCAACCTGAACCTCGCCAGCGGAGTGGGAGCAGTTCTGACACCACGGAGACCTGGCATTGCACCCAGAGCCACGCACTGATCTGTGAGCAGACTGACCATTGAAAGGCTGCCCAAGCTCCACCCTCAAACAGCCACGAGACGCCTCCACCCAGTCACTGATGGAAAGGCGCGTGGCCCACACGGAGACGCAGCATTCGTGACCAGCAAGGAGATGAACCAACGCGTGAGCTCCAGCGTTCAATCGAACCTGTCCTGAGACAACCCCTCCTAAAGTCAGCCCCTCGACTCCAACGGACACTGGTTCCTTCAGTTTGCAGTCAGGGCCCTGACGCCAATTTATTTAATTAGAAAACTTGTAATACACATATCCACCCATATAGTATCCCCGTCCACACTTAGGTTAATTCTCTAGAGGCCCTTTCATGTACAAGTTTTGAGCAGCTTCCCAAGAAACACAGCCTCATACTATTTAGCTATGAATCACTTTACTCGAGCTATTTATTCTTTTGACTTTCATGATTTTTTGTTTTATTTTATGTTGTTTATCATTGAATGTAGACCAAAAGTAGTTTGATATTTAGCCAATAAATTCCCTTGTATTGAAGCATCCTTGGCACTAACGTTTCTCTCTCTTGCCCTGGTCTGTAGACTTCAAATAAATCTGGGTTACCTCACACCCTTATCTAAGGTTCCTGCTACAACAGTATTACTTAAACACAGTTTACAGCCTGTTTCTTTCACGATGGACTACTTTAAATTGTGGACTAATTTCAGCATCTGGTTTTAAGCACACTTTGGGCTGGAGAGTTCTGCTAGACCTGGCAACCCTAGCTTTGGGTCTATCTTTGACACACACTGCGTGTTGTGTGAAATGCAGTGATCTTGTGACGATGTATGGTCTTGGCCAATAAACAAAAAGACAAATCTAGTTTGAAAATTGTTTGAAAGCCGATGGAAATATCTTTGTCTCTCTGTGCAGGTTAATGTGCCTCCCCCTCTTCCGGAGAATATTGACTCTTTGTCGATCTGTAATGGAACTGTAGATATGGTAAAATGATCATACGTAGTGTGGTAAGAAAGCTAGCAACAGTCACGGCAGCAAGTCAGGTTTTTATTGTTGATCAAACAGTGAACAGCTGATTAAATAGTTATGCTCAAATGTCATCTACATGAAGTTTGTTTAAGCCATAAATTGACTATAAATATAGTTGTATTTAGCAAAAATGTAACACAAACATAAACCGATTTCACTGTGACGCGTGTGTTGGGTCCAATGTGAAATAACAAGTGTCAGAGAGGTTCTCGAATAGTGATTTCAGTATTCGAATACTGGCACTTCCAACAGTTAACTAAGTACTCCAGTACTCTTGCACATGCCTAGTCAACAAGCCAAACTCCTCAGCAAACATTTGATCAGCAAAAAGAGCGTATGTTGTGTTTTGGATGCTGGGATGCTGGTCAACCAGCCTCACCAAGCTAGGTGACCAGCTAAACCAGCACCAGACCAGCATAGACCATGTTAGAACATAATGGAACACAAACTGGTCTATGCAGTTTCTGCAGGGTTGCCAGGTTTACTGAACTTTAACACTCTTGCAGCTATTATTACAAATTTGTAGGTCAATAATTACAAACATCTGAATATAATTTATTTCTCAGAATCAGCTGGAGGAGGTTCAGAGGGAATGTCAGCAGAGACTCCAGGAGAAAGAGAAGAAGCTGCAGGAGCTGAAACAGGCTGTGGTCACTCTTAAGGTGAGTAGTGGGCAGAGATCTGCTGGACCAGCTGTTTCACAGCTCACTCAGACTCTCCTCCAGTCAGACAGTGAGGAGTCCAGTGTTGGACACTTAGAGATAAAAATATCCAAGGGAAGCGATTTTTTGTGTCAGATGAGAAAAAGAAGCTCCTTCTTCTGGAAGCTGCTTCATGTTGCATGTTGATGATCGGTTCTCTTTACATGAGGTATTTTTTCCATGTGCCAACATGTCGTGTGTCAAAAAAAATATTTTTCATTGGTCCCTGAACCTACACTCGTAAAAAAAGATGGGTCTTCAAAGGTTTTTTAGTAAAAAAAAAATGGTTCTATGTACAACCATGAACACTCGAAGAACCCTATGGATGATTAAAAGGTTCTTTGCATTGTGAAAGTGTTCTTCAGATTTATGGAGAATGTGCTCTAGATGGTTCTCTATAGAACCTTTTGAAAAGGGTTCTCCTATGTCAAGCTTGCAAAATAGAAGAACCTTTTTTGGTGCTATACAGAACCCTTTGTAGGACCAATGTCTTTACTAAGAAACCCTTGACAAACTGTCTTTTTTAACAGTGTAGCTAGCATCGACAAGAATAGTTTGCCTAGTTAGCAAAAAAGATGCATCAGAAACAAGCGCATTTTATAGTTTACAGCCAAAAAAATTTAACCACATTACTAAATAATACAGCATTTGACCAGCGTCATCAATAATAAACTCCTGGGAACATTAACTGCTGAGGTCTTGCCTTTGAAATTTTGCAATTAATTTTTAAAATTGTCACTAGATGACGCTGTCTGTCTATTGAATAAATGTGTTTTTAAACTTTAAATATTATCACTGCATCTTGTCTGTCTGTGTCCTAACAGCGCTCTGCACAGGCAGCAGTGGAGGACAGTGACAGGATCTTTACTGAGCTGATCCGCTCCATTGTGAAAAAGCGCTCTGAGGTAACAGAGCTGATCAGAACTCAGGAGAAGAACCAGCTGAGACAAACTGAAGAACTCCTGGAGAACCTGCAGCAGGAGATTGATGATCTAAAGAGGAGAAACACTGAGCTGGAGCAGCTTTCAGTCACAGAGGATCACATCCATTTCCTCCAGGTAACCATCACTCACCTACAGAGGAACCTATAAGGCAACAATATCTCTACTTGTCAGAGCTCATATACATTTCTTTAGACTAACTTGTTCAGAGATTATCTGTTGTTCTTGTTCTTCTTCATCTCTCTTCATTCTGTACTTTTCGTCCTGTAGGGTTTCCAGTCTCTGAGAGCCTCTTCTGGATGTGAGGACTCCTCCAGCATCACTGTCCATCAACATCCCTCATTTGATGGAGTGAGGAAATCTCTCTCTGATCTGAAAAAGAGACTAGAGGAATTCTGCAAGGAGGAGTTCAGGAAAATCTCTCCACATGGTAAGAGGAGCTTCTTTACATCACCAGGGACAAATGCATAAGACACACAAAATTTATTCATATTCAATATCTGTTGTCATGATCATCATGTATTTGCATGCATTCTGTACATCCCGGACGAGCCCCCAATTTATGATGTGACCTGGTCTAGGTTGGGCCGCAACATAAAGTGACCTCCATGCCCTCCAGGTTCCCCGACTCACACATACAACAGTCCATATGTGGGGATTATTTTTTTCCTTGACATCCACTCATGATATTTGTGTGATATACCAAAAACAGTCCTAATGACTTTTCAATTTTTTATCTCTCTTCATCTTTTTGGGTTAAACAGGCTTTTGGTGTTTTGCCTTTAAGATAGGTATATGTTGATGATCTCTGTTCTGATTGGTTGTCTTGTATTGCACCTCATTTAGGAAGTAGTCCAGGCTGAAGCGCTCACTAGAACGTAAGCATGAATGGGTGGAGCTAAACTGCTGTAGGCTGCTTATGATTTAGTAATTACATAAACGAATAATGTAAACTGGCCGAGTTACACGAGTGAGGAATGAAGGCCTGGACATGCTGGCAGTTCCTGTGCATTTAAGAGGTTAATAAAGTGACCTTTACTTCATTGCTTATATGTCAGGGTAACAGAGTTGTATATCTGTTATCTGCTTCTTTCTTTCTCAACAGAGCATTTGGGTCTTCATTCATTCTGTTAAATCAGTGTGTTTGTGTGTCTCCACAGCTGCAGCAGTTCAGACGATCTTATCCTCAGAGCCAAAAACCAGAGAAGATTTTCTACAGTGTATGTAGAACACACAAACAAATACACAAATATTGTATCATTTAACTATGACTGTGTATTTATATCTTCGTGTTAGACATTAGGCGCAAAGCCTTTGATCCTGTCAACCATGTAAAATCATGGAATGTCCTCAGGAAAATGGGAATGCCAGAACATCTCATCATTGTACACTGATCAACAAGCCACAGTCATGATAGAAAATGGACACAAAAGACTAGTTCCACATTAGCAAAAGAGTCAGACAAGGCTGCCCACTATCTCCATACATATTCAACCTGTATGCAGAACATAGAATGAGAGAAGCAGGACCAGAGCAAAATGATGAATCCTAAAATGAGGATTTAGGATTGCTGGAAGACGCATCATCAACGTTCGATAAACAAATGATAGAATACTCATAGTGGAATATCTGGAAGACCCTAAGGCCCTTGCAAAGAGGGTTAAAGAACAGAATAAAAAGCCTTCTTGAAAACAAAGGTGAACCATTACCTTTTACTGCTGGGCAGCTTTCACTTCCTTTGATCAATTATTAACAACAAAGGATCCAACAAATATGACCCAGATCACTAGACAGAATGAGGTTGGAGGAGCAACTGCAACAGTCTACGTCTACAAAGAAAGATCAGAACTGTCCAGACTGTGGTCTCCTCTGTGATTCTTTATGGATGCATAGCTGGACATTAAACAAGCAAGAGTGGAAAAGTAATAATGCCTTTGAACCTCATTTCTCCAACTAAAACTCTCTTATTTTGAACATATTCTCAGAAGAACCATTTCAGTGGAAAAGACCACTAGAACAGTTGTAATTAAAAAGGAAGAGGACGAATAGCAACAAGATGGATGGATAGCAATCATGAATCAGACGTTCAGCTACCTGAAGACCCAAACAGAAGACAGGATATTCTGAAGAAACACTATCCATGTGGTCACTAGGAGTGGGGATTAACGAATATATAAAGTGTTAAATATACAAATGTGTAATGTGCAAAAGTACGTAATTATACACTGACAAGAAGTGTACTTTTTAAAATAACTATATTCTGTAAATAAAAAGTAAAAACTCATTTATTTCCCCTTATTTTAGATTTCCGTCAGCTGAGTCTGGATCCCAACACAGTAAATCATGAAATCGGTCTGTCTGAGAAGAACAGAGTGGTGAAGTACAGAGGAGGAGAGCAGCGTTACTCTGACCATCCAGAGAGATTTGACTGCTGGTACCAGGTGTTGTGTAAGGAGAGTGTGAGTGGACGCTGTTACTGGGAGGTTAAGTGGAGTAACTGGGTGTCCATATCAGTGTCATATAAAGGGATCAGCAGGAAAGGAGATGGTAATGAGAGCAGGTTTGGATTCAACAATCAGTCCTGGAGTCTGTGGTGTTCGTCCACTCTCATTTTCTGGCACAACGGCATTAAGACTGAGCTCTCAGCTCCATCGACCTCCAGAATAGGAGTGTATGTGGATCACAGTGCAGGAACTCTGTCCTTCTACAGCGTCTCTGACACAATGACCCTCCTACACACAGTCCACACCACATTCACTCAGCCGCTCTATGCTGGGTTTGAGGTCCACAGGGGAACTGCAAGGCTGTGGGATTTCAAGTGTGCATATTGTAGTTACCTTATAGGTACATTCAAGTAATTATTTACAGTGCTGTTGTGTTAATTGACAGTGATGGAAATATGAATATTGTCATAGTGGAGACCAACAGAACTGAGTCCTAGTCAAGACCGAGACCTGGATACATTGAGGCGAGACTTTTTAGTAGTTGAGTCAAAGTCAAGACAGAGAAAATATTTTTCAAAAAGAATGATAAATATATGTTAGCTAATAACATTTTATCATATATTTTGTCAGAAAAAACATCAAATAATCAGAGGTGGAAAGTGACAAATTATATTTACTCTCATCGCTGCACTTGAGTATAGTTTTCCCTGTAAAGGTACTCTTTGGAGTAAAATTGAATTATAGTGCTTTTACTTTAGTTAATATTAATGAAACACTTTTATTTGGTTACTTTAATTTTTAATAAGTTTACAGGGTAAAAATGAATAATGCACATGTCAGCTCATAAACCAATTAGCAGGAAGCACAGTTAAATTTAAAAGATTCAGTTCTGAAAGCCATTTAAAAAGCAGAGCATCTCCCAGCCTCAACAACACTACAGAGAGGCAGCAGGTTTAGAGCAGAAAGAGGTGAATGTTACCAGCACAAAGAACTTTATCCAAGCTGTCATCTTCATTGATTTTCAAATAAACTGAAGTAAACAGCATTAATATCAGCTGCTAAATCTGCCCTCCAAAATAAGGACAGATCTCCGCTTTCACTACTCAGCTTCAGCCTGTGGGAGCAGCTAACTAACCAGCTAATTCCAGCTGAACAAGTAACTTCTGTGTTTACTATTTTCTGCTAAATTGGCAGGAATTTATTAAACTTAAAATCTGTTGAGCATATTTTATTGTAAGTGCCTGCTAGTTAACAAGCCACTTTAGTTAACACTGCCTGCGGTATTTCTTCATAAAACATTAATACTTAAACTAAATTTGATCAGTCAAGCTTTACTGGTTGGTCTACTAGGCCCAATCTTACAGCCGCTACTGGCTCCATCGCTGGGTACACTTAACTAATAGGACTGTATTCTGCCCTCATGAACTGTCTGACCAGTTCATTGGAGAACTAACAACAAACTAATCAGTGCTGAATGAGAACATGACTCTCAGTCTTTGCTCCTCTGAAGGCTTAAATGTTGTCTCTCTTTATCGTTTTACTTAATGTGACAGAATATGTTAATGGGTGAGTTAAACATCAAGTGGTATTTGTATGAATTATATTTAATTAACATTATTAGTTTTATATTAAATTGATGTATGTAGTGTTGATGTGAAAACAAATATTAAAGCATGACAAAGACTTTTTAGGAATATTTGAGATGGAATTTCAGTTGCTGTGAATAACCAGCCTCCATGTCCACCCCCCCCCCACCACCACCACCACAACCTGGCCCACTGAAATCTCACTCTAAAAAATGGCACCCCTGTTACTGAGCCTAATGAGAACAGCTTCTGTAGAGAAGCTGGATCCGCACTGATACTGCATCTCTTCTACACTTTAAATGACTCCACAACTTTTTTTATTTCTTATACCCCACTCACTTAAGAATTCCACCTCTTTTCTATGCTCCTTCCTGTCTCTCCTCTCTTTCCTCATTTCTTTTTGTCTCCTCCTCTCCTCACTCTCTATGACAGTCTTTAACACACAAGCAGAAAGTCACTCCTACTCAGTTTAAAAGTGAAAGAGAAAGTGAGAAAGTGAAACTAATCTCAGAGTGCTGCTCTCTCTCTCTCTCTCAGTCTGCGAGTGCAGGAAAATGGCAGAGGCCAGTATTTCAGTAGATCAGGACCAGTTCAGCTGTCCAGTTTGTCTGGACCTGCTGAAGGACCCAGTGACTATTCACTGTGGACACAGTTTCTGTATGGTGTGTATTAATGGCTGCTGGGATCAGGAGGATCAGAGGGGGGTCTACAGCTGCCCCCAGTGCAGAGAGACCTTCACTCCGAGGCCTGTTCTACGCAGGAACTATTTTATAGCTGAAATGTTGGAGAAAGTGAGGAAGACAGACAGTCACTGTTACGCTGGACCTGGAGATGTGGAGTGTGATTCCTGCACTGGGAGAAAACTCAAAGCCGTCAAGTCCTGTTTGGTGTGTCTGGCGTCTTACTGTGAAGCTCATCTTAAACCTCACTATCAGTCTCCAACGTTTAAGAAGCACAAGCTGGTCAAAGCTTCTA